TCCTTGTCATATCATGACCATCCTCCTGACAGCAAGGAGGGCTCTGGATGAGGACTCAATTCTGTCTCACCACCAGAGTGGGCAAGGCAATCAGCATGCCCTCATGCACAAAGCCATGCTGCAGTGTCAGTCCCAAACCAGCACCACGAGTCTCTGCATGCAACCTGGCAACCATGGGATTGCCAGAGCATCTTCCACATTGCTCTTCCAGGAGACTGGGCAGAGCCCAGGCAGGAGGCTGACAAGCACCAGGCACCCTGCCTCACGAACCAGAGAGGGCTTGTGCTGGGCAGATGGAAGTTCCCAACTTGGCAGCTGCCATGCTGTGACCAGTGTCATGGTCTTGTGCTCCCCTCCCTGCCCACCATGGCCATCTGCTGTCTTGGCTTCTATCTGGAGCCTGTCCACACTGCGATGGTGCTGTTGCATGGCTATAGCCAGGTTCCTGGTGGCACCGTGGGCATTGGAGCAGCATAGATGCTGTGGTGCACCCAGCTATGAGGCTGTGCAAGCACTGGCATGGTGAGCCACGACTGATCCCATGTCACTGTGCTTGAGTGGTGTCAGCCATGGCAGAGCCCATCAAACAGTGCTCAAGCCCTCAAGAGCTGAGGGGAAAGGGTGAGTCCCACTGTTCAGGGCAGGCCTGGGGCACAGCTCCTCTCAGCAGCCCTACAGGTTTTGGGTTGTCTGAATCCAAAATACCAGTTTTGTAGGGGAAAACCTTCAACATCTGACAAAGGTATATCCACATCACACTCACCAGAGTGCAGAAATACAGACTTGCACTAGCTTGGACTGTGGTGGACACCCAAAGAGACCACAGCCCTATTAAATATTGAAGCCATTAGCTCAAATGACCATCAGTCCCACCTCTCCTGCCCCATGGCAAGGCCCGAAAGAGTTCCTTCTTTGCCTGGTGAGCATTCTCATTCCCCAGACAGCCCAGCTCCTGTCTGGGATGAAAGCACAGCAGCCTCCCCTCCTCTGGTTACACTCCTCACACTTGCTGCCCTTATGTCTGCAACTACAACGGTACAGAGACCCGTTCCTTTCACGGCACTGAAATCAGAGACCTCTGCCACAGCAGAGCTCTTCAGCTTGGCCACCCCAGCACTGTAGCTCTCCCCCGGCTTCCTCGAGCCCTTTCTGCAGAGCTCCAAGACCTACAAGCATCCAGCTGCTACCAGATCCTTCTCAGCTGAGAGATCCCACTCTCAGATTAGCATGCCCCCAGATACATTCAGGTATCCCAGACACTTAATTTTCCCTGGCTCCCTGAGCCAGCAAAATCCCAGTGTTTGTTGTTCCTTTCCAAGAACAGTTCTTTGCCTCTAATGCTTTGCTGTCTGATCTCCTTGTCTCCTTCAGTTTTGTTCTTGGTTTCTTCCTTCGCTGTGAAGAGCTCTTGAAGCGGAAGATGAGTCAGGAGAGATACGCAGGGGGAAGAAGACAAGCTCCCTGCCTTGAAGTCAGGTTCACTGCCTGCGTCATTGTTATTAAAAATAGATGAATGGCAGTGTTCTTTGCATTGGAGGAGAGACAGAGGAGATGCAATATCCCGGGCTGCTGGGCAAATGCTCCCTCTGCCTGCCTGCAAGTCACCCATAGCATCTCCTGCTATTTGATGAATTCCTTTTTTTCTTGGCTCTGACTTGTGGGATTTAATTTGCTTCCCATAAAAACCTGTTAATATTTCAATCTTGGGGAGCGGGGGATGACTCACTTTGGATTAGCTCTTCTGCTCCACTCAGCTGGCAACCAGCTCCCTTGGGAACTGAAAATCCCCGAGTTCTGAGTTGAGTCCCTTTGAGAGCAGCCCCTCTTCCTATCCTGCAGCAAAGTGCTTCACGAGGATGAGAGCAGCCATCTAGGGGTAATATACTGGCCCGTGTAACCCAACACCAATCCTAATCATGCCCAGTCCTTCCGAAAAAAAGCAGGTTTGCAGGGGGCCATGGAGCAGGCTGGGATCCACTGAGCTCTTTGCGAGGCCAGGGTGAGATACCCCATCCCTGGCAGTGTTCAAGGCCGGGTTGGACGGGGCTTTGAGCCACCTGGTCTAGTGGACGGTGTTCCTTTCCATGGCAGGGGCTTAGAACTAGATGAGCTTTAAGGTCCCTCCCAACCCAAACCATTCTAGATTGTATGTGTAACAGTGCTGCTCCCAGTGCCCCATGGCAAAGGGCAGAGGAGAGAGGGGCACAAGAAATGGGATGATTTACCAGAGGGCTCCCGTTGCTGCCACCACTCACCTCCATGCTGCAAAAAGGAGGCGATCACTCTTCAGGTTGTGTGGGGCCGTGCTAGGTGGCAGTGGCAATGGGACCAAAGCCTCACCACTTCTCTGCTCACTATGGGGGCTGGGGGCACAGCCCGAGCACTGAGCTTACACATCTCTCCCAGGACCAAGATTTCCCTCCCTCCTACCTATACCCTGACTTCCCCTCAGCCCTTTTGCTGCCACTATTTTCCACTCATTTATTTTCTGTGATCTTCTTCTTCCTATTAAATTAACGTAATCAACATTATAATCTCTGGCCTGCTCCGTGCTTTGGCCACCGTCCAGAAACGAAAAGACAGGAACTAAATAAAGCCACTGCAAAAGAGAGCGTGGAGACTGGCAGAAGTTGATGGTTTTGAGCACAAAACTTTCTTTCAGAAGTTATTCTAAGTCTTCAACTCTTGCTGCTACCCAGACCTGTCTGGCCTAGGCACTGCATGGGTTTGCCAAGGGCGTTTTCAGTCATCCTCAAAGACAGCTCAGGGCAACTACCCCTGAGCACATCAGAGCACCTACATAACCCACACGGACACAGGGGGCTGCTGCCTGGTGTCTAAGGGGAGGTTTTTGCTGTTCCATGAGAAAGGCTGTGCACCAACAGGGAGATGTTAAAGTGCCCCCTGGTTCTGCTCCCTTCTCCAGGGTGAGAGAGCATCAGTGTCACCACAAAAACACCGTCATGCTGATGCAGTCACTTCTCTTGCTTCCAACCGCCCCCTCCGTGCTATGGAGAGCGGAAGATGCCTCATTAGTGTGTTAATCACAGTCCTAATGAGTGCAGGGATCAGCTAAAGTAATAGCAGTGACCTGCAGGGGGGCTCATCTGCTCAGGTTTATCGTGCTGCTCACAAGACCCTTGGGGAAATGCCAGCCCATCGCTCTCCTTGTCCCCCAGCTGCTGAAAACACCCGTGCCATGTCTATATGCTTAATTAAAGCAGAGGGACCGGTAACCTTGACGACTGGGAGCCACTATCTGTAAGCCAGCTGAGACGGATATCGTTCTGGCGTCTCCAGAGAGAGAGACCAGAGAAGAGATGTGAGTCAGAAGCTTGCAGGCGTTGGACTTGCTCATGAACTGTGGTCACAGCCAGCAGTGCTGACATCCCTGGGGCTCATGTCCTCCCCAAGGATGGGTGTCTGGAAATACCCTGGTCTCTTGCTGGGGAGACGTGGCATGAGGTGCTAGGTTAGGTATGCACACTGCAGCACCAAGAGCCCAAGCTTGTCTGGTGCAAAGGGGTTTTTGTTCTTCACGGCAGCCCTGTGGTGACTACGGGGAGTAGAAGACTTAAAACTTACCAAGAAGTTGTAAATACACTTAAAATAATTCCCCTTAGAATTGGGACATTTGTACAACACCAATCACTTCTGCCTTAATGGGACGCCAGAAAATGGTACATGTGGTTTCGGTGGTGGTAAGTAGCAAGCAGCTGCTCCAATGAGGGGCAGAGATTTAATGTTTGGGTTTTTTTAATGAGCTGGTAAAAGATGTGATCAGTTCTGCATCAGTGTTCTCTCGCTGCCCCTGAACTGAGGGCAGGAGTTCCAGAGGATTGCACATTGAAGAAGGAAGGCAACACTTCTGGGGGAACAAAAATGTTTCCACCTTCTTCCCCTGCCTTGTGGTGCTGCAGACACGGGTATTGGAATGGAGAAGGGGAGCCACAGCCCTGCCTCTGCCAAAGCAGCATAAGAGAGTGTCAGCAAGAACCACAGGTGCCTTCAAGGCCCCGTGTTCTTTGTACCTTCCAGGCAAAGGGCACTTTCACAGGTCAGAAAGGCCCCAAATCTCTGTGTGTTTCTGTGAGAGTTGATGGGACAGGACAGGAGGGCTTGCTCCATCTGCACCACATGAGGCTGGGTTGGGGAGGAAGCACCATTACAAGATATTTGCAAAGAGGTTTTTGGTCCTTCCAGAGGACACAGGGTGCCTGGCTGGGCACCTGCCCACTGCCAGCTTTGCAATGGGGTTTCTTCCTCAGAAATGCTGACCAGAAGAGAGCAGTCAGTATTTCTGAAGGACCTTCACAGTGCCTGGATTGGGCTGGCCAGCACCCAGGAGGCTGGGAGGGATGTGGGGCCACGGGGCTCCCCATGGGCTGCAGAAACCAGCAGTGGCATCTTGAGCACCCGGCTCAGCCCTAGCCAGGACAGCACTCAGGGGTGCTTGGAGCAGCGCACGGGTACCCAAAAACAGTGCAGAGGCCCCAGGGCAATGTCCTGTGCTGGACTTAGCTGCTGTCACCATCCCTGTATGGAGCAGAAGTGGGGTGCCAGGCTCAACTGGGGGTGCCAGGGGCAGATCGGGGGGTGTCGAGGGCCTGGACCCGGATCACTTGGACCAGCACAGAATAATGAAGTGGTTCAGAGCCAGACCAGGGATGCACAGCACATGGAAGGACGGGACTGGGGCCGAGCTTCCCGAACCAGGGGTCACTGCTCCGAGGATGCAGGAGCCAGTGCGGGACTGGACCAAGAGCGCCCAGCCCGAACCGGCCGTGCCGGGGACCGACCGGAGATGCCGGTGGCGGTGCCAAACCGGACCGCGGATGCCAGGGAGCGAACCGGGATCGGCCCGGAGCGCTCTGACCGAAACGGAGGCGCACGGAACACGCTCGGGGATGCCGGGCCCGGGCCGGCCGGGAGTGCGGGGGCCAGTGGCGGTCCCCGCCCCGCGCCTCCAGGGCCGGGGGCTGCACCACGTGCCGCCCGCCCCGCCCCGCCTCGGCACCGCCCCGGCTCCGCCGGCGGAGCCAGCGCGGATCGGCCCAGCATGGAGGGGACGCGGCGCGCCCTGCTCCGCCTCGCCGCTGTTTGCTGCCTGCTCTGCGCCTTGCCAGGTACTGGGGACGGCAGCCCGAGGGGTACCGGAACGCGGGGAGGTGGCTCGGGGGGGTCCCGCCCGTCTCACCGCGGCCGGGAGAGCACCGCCGGGAGCAGCCGTCGGGGCAGCGCCGGGGCCCGGGCTCCTCCGCCCGCCGGTGGGGCGGCGGGAAAAGGGTCTGGGGATTCCTCCTCGGGGACGAGAACCTCCTGGGAAAAGCCCCCCGAAACTCGGCCCAAGTGCCCTGGCTCCGGCCCGCGCGCGGGGAGAGTGGCCCGGAGATGCCTGGGGGGGAGCCCGGCGAGCCTCACGCTCACGGCGGTAGCGAGGCCGCCCGGCCGGCCCTGCCCGTACACGGCAGCGCGGCTCCGCCGGGTGCCAGAGGGTCCGGCCCGCGATCACCTCCTCGGCGCGGCGAGGAACCGAGGGGATGCTCGGGGAGGGGAGCGGCGAGCCCGGAGGGACTCTGCTACCGGCCCCCATCCCTGCGAGCCCGCTCTGTCCCACCCTGCAGCTCACGGGTCCCCACAAGCAGTTGCCGAGCTCCCATCGAAGGGACCCCGGACAAAGCCCGAGCGCTGCCGCCTCCCCGCACGCACCGGACGCCCGTCCCGCCGTGCTGCGGGAGAGCGTTGTCGGCGTCCGGGATGGAGCAGGAGCCAGACCCCGGCCCGGGCAGCGTTTCCCACGCTGTGTTTCGGCAGCATGCCATGAGCAACACGTCCCCACGTGGGCAGGCGCAGTCTGCAGCGTGGCGCTGACAGCCCCGTTCACCGGCACGGCGCCGGGCCCTGCCGCATGGCCGGGAGCGGGCCCGAGCCGGGCTGCTGGCATCCCCGCCACCAGACCCCGGCAGTAACAAGAGGCTGAGCTGGCATCTAGGGACTTGCCCGGGGCTCGGGAAGCAAACGTGCTTCCTCTTGTTTGCGGCTGAGAAAAAACTCTTAGCCAGACTCTGTCAGGGTGATGGAAGCAGTAGAGACACATAGAAACTTCGGTCTCTAATAGTTAACTGTGTTGGTAAAACCCTGGTGTAGGTGCCTGCAGGGCTGAGCTCCAGCAGTGAGAGCAGTGCTCATGCACACATTCGGTTTTTGGTGCTGAATGCAGTTTGGCTGGGTTTGAGGCTGTGCACAGGGAAACAGTTCCAAACCAGCCCCGTTTATGTGGGCAAAGCTTCGGGTAGTGCTGTGTTCGCTGTGTATGGCTGTGCTGTGATGGGGTGCAGGGATGTGAGCAGGCACTGGCAAAGGAATGACTTGCTGGCAGAGGAATGACAACTTGGGATTTCTGTCCTCGGGAGCAGGAGGAGGCCAGGGCTGCGCTGGCTGTGTCAGCAGCGTTTCTGCCCCTGGCACCCTGGGGTACCCCCTGGGAGCCCCTTGCCCCAGCTGGCTCGTAGGAGCTGTCTCATTGCAAAGTCCAGGACTCAAAACTGCTGGAATGTAACAGAGTTAAGATTGTGCTGAGTTTTTCCTGGAATCTTTCACTCTTAGTGTCCCAATCCCAAAGTCCCTTCGCAGTCACAGGAAATGGCACCTATGCAGCTGGCCTGCTCCTTGTCCTCATGGCTTTTGGATCCTCTAGCTAATCCCAGCCACAGTTTAGAGAGCAAATGTTTTCTGAAAACAGATGGCATGGAAGAGATGCCACCAATAAAAAATGCCCCATGGCAAACCCAACCCTTATATCGAGACACCAAAGAATCCATCAGGACAGTGATGGAGGAAGGGAAAGGTTCACCTGGAGATTGTCCCCAAAGCCAACAGTCCCTAGACAAACCGATCTACAATCGGGCTCATCCCAGCTCCATGAGCTGGTTTCTGCCCTGCTCCTGATGCAGATCCTCTTTGTATCTTGGTCCAGCAGTTCCTGCTCCCGCTCCCTGGACAGGTTTGCTGCGGGGCCGCAGAGGGGTTCAGGCTGCCATTCCTTGTGCTCTGCCCACCTCAGCTTCTCAATGCAGCCTTTCTTCACTGCCTGCGGAAATCCACTTCCTTTAGTACCGTCGGCCGTACGAATAAAACCCCAAGTAACTCTGTCCTGGGTATTTTGCTGCCTCCCCTCCCGTGTCGAGCTGCCTCACAAGCAGAGGGGACGGTGTGGGGCCAAGGGCGGCAAGAGCACATAAAGCCCCGTCTGTCAGGGCTGCGCACACAGGCAGGCAGTGTCTGTGTCTGTGCAATAGATTTGCAATGATTTTTGTTCCCCTTTTTTGCCCAGGGCAAGGGGGAGTGGATGGACAAGGACAAGGGAGAATGGCTTTAAACTGAAAGAGAGGAGATTTAGATTAGATAGTAAGAAAAAATTCTTCACTGTGAGGATGCTGAGGTGCTGGCACAGGGTGTCCAGAGAAGCTGTGGCTGCCCCATCCCTGGCAGTGTTCAAGGCCAGGTTGGACACAGGGGCTTGGAGCAACCTGCTCTAGCAGAAGGTGTCCCTGCCCATGGCAGGGGGTTGGAATTGGATGAGCTTTAAGGTCCCTTCCAACCCAAACCATTCTATGAGATTCAACCCCACCTGGCTGGGGCAGCTCCAAATCTTCTGCACCCAGAACTGAGCCACAGTTCGGTCCTCTCCTCAGGGCAGTACCTCTGTCTGTGTGGGGTCGCCCCAACCCTGCACTCCCTGCCCAGCCCCATCATGTCATGCTGTCTGTCTTCAATGCCATTTCTGTGTCTGCTCTTCCCCCAGCTCCAGGTGCAGAGTGCATCTTGGCTCCCCACTGCCTTTCCATGCCCTGACCCCTTGGCTTCATTCCTCTGGGCAAAGGAGAGCAAGGAGGATCCAAAGCACAGAGGCCCCTCTTCTTCCTTCCTTTCAACCAAGACCCTCTGGGTGGGCAGACACAGTTCTTGTTGCAGGGGTTTCCGTGGGGCAGCCTTGTGGTGCCTCTGGCTGCCTTCATCCCCACCACACTCTATGGGGCAGCTCTCATAAGGTTCAGCATTGCTCAGGTGTGGGGCCATGTCTCAAGCCCTGTAGGGCTACTCGGGGCAGGGCCAGGGCATGTGCTTGCCCCGCATGACCCAAACTGCTGCTGCTTAGGGCAGGATGCACCCTCCAAGCCCCACAGCCCATGAAACCAGCAGCCTCGCAGCTGGAAGGTCCTGCTCTGGGCTGAGCAGGCTTCTTGATGTCCAGACTCCCCCCCAGCTCATGCCACACTGCACTGGAGATCAGGCTCCCTGCTGACATGGAGCTGTTATTAAGGCAACTGGCTAATTAATTTTCTCCTAATGATGTGCGTGCTTCCTCCACTGCAGCTGTGACTCCTGAGGTGACCAGGGCTAGGCTGGCTGATGCCAGAGCTTCCTGCTGTTGCTGTATTTTTGGGGTTACACAGCCCCAGAGAAGGGAAGGCTTCCCAGGGCTCCTGTGTCCCCAGCAGCCTCTGGGCAAAGGGGTCTTCATCACAGCTCAATCCCTCTGCCGAGGAACAAAGCAAACAGCATGGGAGCTTCCAGGGTACCTTCTTGCCAAGCAGGATGCTTCATAGCTGCATGCTGCCAGTGGAAAATAACTGGCTGGTGTGACAGTGGTGGCTGAGCAAGGCATCCTGCTCTCCCCTTTTGCCCTGCCATGGGAATCTGGGATAAGCCTTCTGACCTCTGTAGTGGGGGATAAGTGATGGGGCTTCATGCAAACCAGTGGGAAAGCTGTTTCTTGCATCTCTCCTTGGGGCTGCCCCCTCCCTGACTCAGGCTCCAGTACCACTGTGTGCTCAGGGCACGTCTGTGCTGTTTATGGGTTTTTCTAGTACAGAAGATTCTGACCTTGACATTTATGGTACTGTTTCCAGGGCTGCTCATCTCTGCTCTTGAAACTCTTGCTCTGCTTTGCCGTGCTGTGCCACCGTGGGCTGGTCGTCCCTGTTCCAAATGCGGTGCCAATAAAATCATACAATAGTTTGGATTGGAAGGGACCTTCAAAAGTCATCTAGTCCAGACCCCTGCAATGAGCAGGGACATCTTCGGCTAGATCAGGTGCTGGGCTGTCCTTCCCCAGCACCCAACTGAGTGAGCTGTGTGCGCTCAGTACCCCATATCTAATCTGAGCCCCGTCTCGTGCTCAGCTCGTGGACACCTGCCTATCAGGCTGGAAGGAGCTTCTCAGTCAGGAGACCCGGTTTCTATTCCTGTCCCTTACCACAGCCGTGGCTTTGCAGCGTGCCTGGCCTGGCAGCTTTCCAGGAGGTGCTTGGCACTCAGCACCGCCAGTTCACACCCCCCAGTTTTGCTGCCTGCGCAACAGGGCACAGCTGAGCTCACAGAGGCCACATGTGGTGAATTAAACTGCTGCCACATGAGAGCTTCACTGTGGTCCCAAGGAGGCTGCGAGGTCTGATCTGTCCCTGCACCAAGGCTCCTCGCAGCACAGAGCCTATTCAGCCTCTCTGCTGGGATGGGGATGGGAACAGTCCTGCCATCAGCCCTGGTAGAGAGAGCACTGGATCCTGCAGCAAATGCAGCCCGGTGACATCCTGCCTCCATAGAGGTATCCAGGTATCCAACTGGAGCTGAGTTTACAAAGCAGTTCCCCTTTGTACCGAATCTCCATCTCCGAGCCTTGCTTCGTTGCGATGAGGGTGTTTGCTCTACAGCATCCCTGGGTGCATCTGGCTCCTACCTGGAGAGCTCTATAAATCTCTTCTGCCACTTGGGGCTTTTTTATTCCAAGCTCTTGAGTTAAGGAGAAGAGGTCAGGCTGAGCCAATGTCTAATCAGCAGCTACTCTGGTTCTACTTTTGCATGAAATGAAGAGCCTCGGTTTTAAATCCCACTGTATGGTTTTATTTGCATTTGTGCTCAAGCTCTTTTTCCTTGAAGAGGTTGTTTAATTACCATTGGTTGGTAACCATAAAAATGTAATAACTGGCAACAAAAGATAATTTCTACACTTAATGGAGTACTTTGCTGAGCAACAGGATATAATATAATTGCTTAAATACGTATAGGTTACAGCTTACGCTGTTACTTTTTAAACATTAATTTTGCATTTTACTAGGTTGTTTGCAACTTGAGCTGTTAACTTAAATGGGAATTGAATTCAGTTAGTGAACGAAAATAGCATTTTAGAAGGGCTCGGGTGCCTTTTCAATGAATCAGAGTAGCAGTTTGACGTGCGCTCTGTAGGAAGCTGCTTGAAGCGAGGTGCTGTCTTCAGACAGTGACAGCCTGTGCAGGAGGATTCATCCACACCAGGGAGCCCTGCTCCCAAAGGTGGTTTCCCGAAATCCTGGGTGGATTTTTTCCTGTCTTTGTGCTCAGCTCTCACCTGGGTCTCTGTGCCTGTTCCAGTGGTGACTGCAGCCTGCACCCCTTTGCCCTGCTCCCCCAGAAGCCCCAGCAGCCAGCCTGCTGCTGCCTTCCTTACCTTATGTGGCTCTCCTGCATCTCACCCTGTGGGAATTTAGAAGCCTATGGATTTCAGTTTGGGTTTGTTTTGTCCCTTGGGGAGCTCAGGCTGCTGTTTCTGGCTGAGATAAGGAGGGTGCAGAGGATGCTGCTGGAACTGTGGCAGGAGGGTTGTGTCAAGAGCTCGTCTGCAGGCTGGTCCAGCTGAGGCCCTGCACTGTCTCTCACTGACTTGTTTTATTCTGAGATCAAAATAGATGTTGGGTGGCTGCTGTGGCAGAGGATGGAGGAGACATCCCCACTCTGCATGGCTGCCCTGACACAGCAGCAATGCTCTCTGCTGGTTGTGCAAACCTTCCTCAGCCCTGAAACTTGGCCTCAGCCCTGAAACTTGGGCAGGGAACACAAAGGAGGAACGGCCCCCCCATCTCCTGCAGAGCTGGCTTCCTTCACTCCTCTCAGCTATGGCATATTTATACCATGTCTACTCTGGAGCTGTTGGGAGCTCTTGTTGATGCATGGAGGTCCCTTAGTGCTGGAGAGGGGCTGAAGCTGTGGGCTGATGCTCAGAGCCCTCCCTTCCCTCATGAAGTTTCCCACCCTTGTCCAAGGCAGGGGCTTCTTGGCTGGCTGCATCCCTCCTCCCTTGGGACTGCTCTCTTCCTTCGCCCCTCTCGTTTCCCAGACAGAGGTCACTGCAGTCAGCATTGTCTGATGGGAGCTGCCGCTCCAGATCCACCTCCCTGCCCTAGTGTGGTCTGAGCCTGCTGTTTCTCACCATGCACAGCCTGAGCCTGGTGGTTGGCCCAGACCCGGGGCTGCAGCCAGGGGACCTCCCGGCAGTCTGCTTTAACAGGCACTGTAGCGTGACCAAAGCAAACCCACCCCTGGTTCCCAGAGATGCTGTTATTATCAGAGCTCTTGCTTGCAGCTGCTCCTGCTTCTTCACTTGCAGCACAATCGTAGTTGCTTTATTATGGATCCAGGAGTGACTGCACCTTCACCACCTGCTTTGGGGTGCTGCAATTGTCAGGCTTTGGAGCATCCCAGAGAAGTTGAAGCATATCCACACTAACTCCTTCCCATTTGCACCTGAGACAAGATGGGCATGTGGTTCCTTCTTGTCTCCAGGAGCTGATGGGGGTGATGCCTTAGGCAATGCAGCCACAGCTTTCCTGGCATGTGGTGCAGGAAGCAGAGCTCCTTCAGGAAGACGCCAGAGTAACGAGCTCTGACCTGTGTCTCTGTAAGTAACTAATAAACAGCTAAAAACATCATTGCTCGGTGACTGGAGCAGCAGGGACAGTGCTGGAGATGGGGATTTTCCGACCTGTTCGGCACCAGGGATTCAGAACAAACCACAGTGTTGCGACCCTGGAGGATCACAGCTGCTGTTGGGTTTGCTGGGTCTCGTCCAGCACAGGCAGCAGCAGCAGAGCTGTGCTCCCCACACAGGACTGCAGGGTTTGCACCGGGCTGGGTGGAAATGAGTGATAAAACTCTGGGAAACAAAGTTGTGGCGTTCCAGCAATGATGTAGCAGATCTTAATGCAAGACACTGTGCGGGAGTGCTTTTATTTTGAGACCAAGCTGAACTACGCCTCATTAGTGCTTGCACTCCAACGCTCACAAGCACCAAGTTGAACCTATAGGGTGTTTCCCCAAGTGCTTTGCTTGGCGACTGTGTGCTGGCTTTGGATGTGCTCTTACCGTAAAGAGCTGACAGACAGATGAGATGGTGATCTGTCTGTCTGTCCCCAGGTGATCATTATTTACTCACTGTCCTTTGTTTCTTTATCCATCTTAAGCTCTTGCCTTGTTCTCTATCTTCCCACCATTATCTGTTAATGGCTTGAGTCTTTGTGTTAGCCGGGTTTGGGCTCTCCCTTTTTTCAGGCTCTCCTTTGTTTTCCCGAGCTGGTAGCACTGTGATAAGCAAGGCTGGATGATCTGCTAATGCAGGTGCCATCAACACCTGCCATGCTCAGAGGCGTCGGAAGGGATTCCTGCTGCCCCAGTGGTTCCTTTTCCTGCTCCATACCTGCCAGTTTTCTGCAATCTCTTCTGCAATTCTCTACAAAGCAGGTTTTACACACCACAGTGCTGTGTTACACCAGAGCCGGGCCAGCGGCCAGCACAAGTCTGTTTGCAATGGTCCTGCTAAATTCCTGTGCGATGCAGGTCTGGAGCAGCCTGTCCACCCAGGCACCACTTCCTCGGTGGTTGCGGGCACTGAGCAGTTCTGCGGCAAAGAGACATGTGGCTACATAAGGATACAAGAACTTAGGGGAATACAACTCCCACTAGCTCTCCCTCTAGCAGACAGCAGGGAGCTGTGTGTACAGCCCATCCTTATTCACAGGGGAGGGGAGCTGCTTGTGCCCACAAACCCTCCTGCCCCACAGCACCTCCTGGCAGGGATGCCAGCTCCTGACACTGATGTGACTGTTTCAGAGCTGCTCGGGCCTTTGTACAAGACAGCTCTTCCCAGATCTTTCCTCTGCGTGACCCCAGGCACAGCTTGCCACCCCGCAGGAGCTGGCCTGGGCACAAGCCAGCTATTCAAAGCAGCACGTAGCCAGGCTTGCCACTGGCCAGGCACCTGGCCACCACCTTTCCTGTTTACCCCACGGTGACAGCGCAGCTCTGTGTGTGTCTTGCTGCATAGCAGCAGGTAGTTGGGTGTTTACAGAGCAAGCATCTGCCAGTGCCCAGCCAGGATCCGTCAGCATTCTCCCCAGTGCAGGCTCTGGAACTGCTGGGATCTCACCCAAGAGGCAACATGCTTGGTTTCAGGCTGGAAATTCTCACATGAAAGGCTGTGTGGTTTGGTGCCTGATCCTGGGAAACGCAGTGCTTGGGTTTTTCCTTCTAGGTGTTACTGGTGTACTGTGTACCTTAGATCCATTTTAGATTAGACATTAGGAAGAAGTTCTTTACTGTGAGGGTGCTGAGGCGCTGGCGCAGGCTGCCCAGAGAAGCTGTGGCTGCCCCATCCCTGGCAGTGTTCAAGGCCAGATTGGACAGGGCACTAGAGCAACCTGCTCTAATGGAAGGTGTGCCTGCCCACGGCAGGGGGTTGGAGCTGGATGAGCTTTAAGGTCCCTTCCAACCCAAACCATTCTATGATTTCAGAGAGCAGCTTGCTTTGTTTAGAGGCACATTCTGGCTATAGACAGCTGGATCCAGGTGAAGCCAAAGGGAGCATCACTTATACCTTCAGTCCTCATGTTCAAGTTGCTGCAGCTGGGGCTCCCCTTGAAAGCTTGCTCTGTTAATGTGTGGAGTAGAGTTGTGCTGCCTGCTTGTGCATCCCCCATGGAGCCCTCCTGGGACTGGGGCCCTGGGCTGGGGAAGCACAGCTCTGTCAGGCTGCTGTTAGGTTTTGAATTCTCCAGCTGGTCAGGGTACTGCAAAGGTCTCTTGAGAGAGATGCATTGTGTCTTTTTTTAGGGCCTGTTAAGTGCTGTAGCTGGGGAAGAGCTCTGATAACTGTGTCCGTTCTGAAGAGCTTTTAAAAACTCCTGAGTTTTCCCCAAAGCCTTGGTATGAGAGTGGGCTGCTTTGTTGGTGGATGAATGCTTCCTGGGTACAGCATCTGCCTCAGATGCTTCTCCACTGTGGAGAGCAGGCATGAAGATGGATTTTCTTCAGTACCTGTGTTTTTTCCTGCAGTTGGCTCCTCATGCCTCTGTGGCTTGGTTAGAAACTTGAACAGAAATCATCAAAATATTGACCATGCAATGTTTTTAAATTGTCTGGAGAGTCCATCCTGCTGGCACTCCATTTCTCTGTTTTCTTCCTGTTTACACGCTGAGAAATCCTCACAGGACCTGTGTTTATGAATGGGCAGTGTAAGAGCTTTGTGGTGTTCTTTCTCCCTCATGCTGTCACACTGTCTAGCAGCTTAGGATCCGGGGGGATCCTTGCTTGCTGCAGGTTCCTTCTAAGGAAGCTGGCCTCGTTGGTGTAGTGGGAGGCTGAGTAGCCCCCATTTCTATGACAACAGTTGCACTTTATGGTGGTGATGTGTTCATAAATAGCTCATGAAGGTGGCTCCCAAAGCACCCCACCAGCCCTGCTAGCTGTAGTACTCTTGCTACCCATTTCACCTTTCCCTCTAGCAGCAAGCCCACACTACTACTAAGATGACTAGGATATATGCTTTACCCTTGCCAGCACAGACTTTTTAAATGCTTTTCTGCACTCTGTCAGTCCAGGGGAGCTGGGGATCTACTGCCACTTCTTCCCCACTTGTATTTTTTCCTGTACACTGCTGACTCCCAACGAACCAAGGAAGACTTACCTAAGGTTCTCACACAATCAGGTCTCAGGTGGTACTTTTAAAAACCCAAATCCCTTAAAGGGTTTAAAAGGTGCTCGAGGATAGAACAGAACAGGAGCACAGCGGGGAGGAGGTCCCCACCTTACAGAGGAGCTGTACCCCTTCCTCAAGTGTGTACCTGGAGTTAAAGGGATGGAGAGGTTCAGTTCCTGGTCTTCCCCTCTGTTTTTCCTCTCAGTGTGGGATCTCTGACAAACTTTTCGTCCATTCTTTACTCTGTTCCATAGGAGAGGGTCAGAAGACATCAGAGGTGACACCACCTTTTCTTAGCACAGCTCCAACCTCACATCAGCCAAGGGAAGCCTCTGCCTTCAGTGCAGTGACTGCTGCCATTCCTGAGACAAGCCTGGAGAAAAACTTGACTGCTGCCACACTCAATGCCACTGGAGCCCACGCTACAGAGATGGAGGATGCCTCCATCCCTACCACCCCCATGGTGGGCACCAAGGCAGAGACACTGCAGGCTTCCACCACTGCCAGCACCGAGACCATCACCATTACACAGCATGAGCACCACAACATGATCTTGTCAGTCAACAGCAGCACTGAAATCCTCTCCCCTATCCCAACTGCCAGCACTCTGGAAGAAAACCAGCACCACCACGAGGTCCCTGAGCCTTTCAACACAACTGAAGAAATGGAGGAGGCCAGTAGTGCAACCCCCACACCTCCCCTGAACAGTGTGACAGGTGAGGTTTTGCCTTTTCTGCCTGTGCGGAACGTCCTGCCCCAAGGGTGCACAACCTGGAAACTCCTATGAACTCTCAAGGCCAGTTCAGTGGGACTGACTTGCAGAGCTGCTGTTAATTCACCATCCACTTTGCAAACTTCATTAGTTTATGGTATTAAGTGTGCTGGCTGCTTTCTGATGAGGACATTGATTGTATGCAGGGATGTCCTTTATAGATCTCGTCCAAAACAATGTGCTTCAGCAGTGCTGCACAGCTGAGCTTGTCCAAGACCAGAGCCGGGGGCTCAATAGGAGCTTTTTCCCTGCTGCAAGCAAATGGGGCAGCACACCCTCCCTTAAACAAAGCATGGAGAAGGGCAGGCACAAGCATCAGCCCATCCATCTCTGGGCAACCATGGGAACCCCTACCCTACCTCCAGATCCCTCCTAGGCAGCGTGAGGACTGGCTGTAGGTCTGTGATCCCAGTCTCACCCACCCTGGGGCCTGCCAGGCTGTCACACACCCCTGATGGAAGGCAACTATTGATTGACCATTGATGTGCATGGTGGTCATGCACAACCGCATCCTTCACCCTGGCTGGTGTCACGGGGTCCTGCTGTTCTGTGACACACAGACACATCATCACAGGGATGATGCTACTCAGTCCCTGGGCAGCCCCTTCTGTGGTCCCTGTAAGGAGGGATGAGAAATCTTTCCCAGTCTCTTGCTCAGGGGTGACCCTCGGCTCTGTGCAGAGCTGTTTGAGACTACTCTGCTTGTCCTTTGTCCCCAAGAGGACAGGACTTGTGGACCCAGCTGAGGTTAGCTGACATTGCACATTGGCACGTACAAAAAACAAGAAGACTTTCCAGGCACTGTGGCTGTGCTATAAAACCTGTTTGTTTCCTGAAGGGTTGTCAGTAAGGTGCTATTCCTGTAGTCCCAGCAGTAATCCTTACAGCCCTGCTTACATCTTGTCACAGAACAGTGCACTTCCACTTTATCCTTTGAAATAATTGATTGGTTCTATTTTGCAGCAACAAGTAACAGCTCTCAGCCTTTTGGTGGGCAGACCATGGGACCCACAGCAGCAAGGTCCGAAACCAGGCCAGGAACGAGCCCTGTGCATGCCACAGAGGAAAGCACCACAGAGCCCAGAACCTCCTCTGCTCCCATCTCAACCACAGGGAGCATGTCCTCTGCTACTGCCTCCAGTACTGTGACAGTGAGACCCCTTGTGACCAGCTCCACGTATGCTAGCACAGCTGCCATCCCCACCAGCACACCTACACTGGAGCAGGCATTAGAGCCCATACATGAGAAAGCCTCTGTATTGGATGTCGGTGATGATGAAAATCCAGGTAAATGCTTTGCTTTTGTTCCTGCTTTTACAAAGAGTTGGGGCTACTTCAAATTGCCTCCCAGTTGTACTGAGCACAACCAGCAAAGACAAGGCTTTGCTACTCCAGCCTTGAAGGTTCTCCTTTGGCCTCATTCTCTTGGTATCCTTGCAGAGCTCCCCAGTTCCCCTTTGGCTGATACAACGAAGGCTGATCCCTTGGTGATCACCGTGATCTCTGTCTTCGTTGTCATGGTGGGCATCCTAGGCCTATTGGGCTTCCTGAGATACCGCCAGCACAACAGCCGCATGGAGTTCCGGCGCCTGCAGGACCTGCCCATGGTGAGTAATGCCTTCAGCCCAGCCTGACATGGTCCGGCTTGCTACTGGCTGCTCTGCAGTTCCCCTTCTACCACATTAGTAATGCCTTGGGTATTTGCAGCAGCATGAATGCTGATCACAACTCCTGTTCCCTCTTAGGTCCCTCTCCTTCAATCCAGGGTTTGAATCAAGACAGCAAGTCTCAAGGTTGGCCACTAAAGAAGCTCTCTGCCTTTCCCTCACTCTGCAGGGGAATGCTAAGAGGTTAAATAGAGAGAGGAAGGGGAGCTCCATCCCATCTTCCCCTGAAATGACACCTTCCTAGCTGCTCCTCCTGTATTCTTGATATATTTGCTTTGTGACTGTAACAAAGCAGATTCCGTGCTCTGCTCCAGCAAGGTTGTCTGTCTGTCTGCGTTTGAGCTTTTGGGGATATAAAAACATATAAGGGTTTGAGAGGCTGGATTAGCTCTGGGGAAAATGCAACTAATTCACTGTGCTTTCTGGGACAGAGGAATACCGAAGGGAACTTCTGCAGCTAGCAAGCAAGCTGATGCTGTTTCAAGCTGAGTGGAGTTTTCCACAGCCAGGGTTTTCCACATCCCTGCAGCAGGCAGGCTCTTCCTGAATGCACCTCTTCTCTCCAAAAGCTGCAGCAGGAAGAGAGAGTGACAGCTCAAGGAATTGCACAGGGACAGATTTAGAAGGATTGCTGGGCAGATGACCACAACTGTGACAGTGTGGATGAGAAGGCTGTACTGCCTGCACAGCACTCTTCCAGGCTGGAACTGTGTGCCACCATGCAGACTTTTCATTAAAGCACACTCTTCTCTGCTTCTAGGATGACATGATGGAGGACACCCCTCTCTCACTCTACAGCTACTAGGCAACCAGGCTGTCCTCTGCCTGGCCGGCTGAACTTCCCAGAGGAGAAGGCCTTGAGGACTTCTTGAGGTCCCAGACGATCTGCTGAGGAATGAGGGGCTATGATTTGCACACAACTGAAAGATCCTTTTCAGATGGCTTTTGGTTTTAGACGTTTTCAGTAGTTCAATGTTGAAGTTTTTACGCTGAGAAACAGAGCCCAAGTCTGGCCCTTTCCTCCAGGGTGTCCTTGAAACCATGCCTTGAAGAGGTGCCTCCTCCTTTTAGTGTGGTGACCAATTAGCCAAGACAACCTTTGCCATCATGTTCCACATGGAGCTCTTCTGTCCATCTTGGCAGCTGCTGCTTTCAAAGGAGGTGGGCAAGTGATCCATACAAGAGCTCTTAACACTGGTGGTGTCAGCACAGTGCTAGCAAAGGAGACTGCTGTTTTCTAAGGGAGCCAAGGATGTGGAAAGCAGTTGTCTTGGGCTCCTTCTTGTTCTTTATTTTTAAGGTTGTTTGGTTTGGGTTTTTTTTCTTGCACTTTTTTTGTTCCTGTTTCAGCTTTAGTCCCAGGATTGGCACAGCCCATCCTGAAACACCTACCAGGAGGATGACAGACTGCTCTGCTTCCTTCCTACATGCATACCTTTTCTCTTTAACCAGGGAAAACAGTTTTGTGGCCACTGGAGAAGTGCCCTTGCTACTTGATGTTGCTTTGAAGTTGCTGGGAGGAAAATGAACATAATTTTAGCTTAACAGGGCCTGATAGGAGTCAGTCTGTTGCAATTAGACACACTAATTTGGTCTCACCAAAATTAGGAAACCGTGTCTCCCATACTTGATGCCTTCAGCATATGTGTAAACTCTGCCCAGGCTCAGTGAATGCTTTAGTCTATTTCTCTGCGTGGATTGACACTTGCCTTTCCTCAGGTACCTCCCATTTTGCTGCTAGCATCTGGTTGCTGAAAGCTGTTGTACAAAACTAGTACTGCACTCTGCCTCCTCTGCTATGCAAGGTCAAAGCTCCTTTACCTTCTAATGTTGGTCTTTATGCCAGTTGGCATCTCATCACGAAGACAGATCTTGGGTGTAGGTGCCTTCCTCCACTTCCCTTTCTAGATGTTAGGCTGATGAGATTCTGCACTTTTGCCTCAAAGTATCACTGCTGTAGACTGCATCCAAGCCTCCTGAGTCCCCTCAAGGAATGGACCAGAGTCTCTGAGTGTAAGTCTGAGGATCGTTTGGTGCCCTTGCCTCAGAAAGACGGTAGTGTGCATGACATGGAAATGTTCGTGTAATTAACACTTGCTTCTATTTTCTAATTCACATTTGACTGCAGGTAAAGAGAAACACATACCTTCTCTAGAGTGTTTGATTTGTGACAGGATACAGAAAGAGCTAGACAGAGATTGTCTATCACATTGCTCTTACAAGCCTCAGTCTATCCTCTCAGTAGCAACACTCACTGACCCCACAAAGGACAGATACCAGCCCTCACTAGCAAAACTACCTTTTTTTTCCAGTGTTGTCGTTACTTGTCTTAGCAGGGAAAGGGCAATTTTCCAGTCAACAGGTCTTAAATTATCTGCAAAGCCCAAAGATGGAGCACAACTGGTTTGGGTCAAATAGATGAACTGGGTAAAGCAGTGGTTCCTCCTTACTGTGCTACTACTTCCTGAAGTGACAAAAGGCTGCAGTGCAATTTGGGTTCTGATGTTGGCTTTGGCCTTGCATCTGTTTATTGTAAGGATGCCCAGTAAAATAGGGAAGAGGGTTGGTTCTCTCCTACTATTACTGCATGAAAACTAAAGGGCAATTGTCACGACTCCAAAGTTTTTTGTATCAAGCATTGTCTGCGCAGAGCAATCTCCCTAGCTACAGACTTGTTTCCCCTGCTGGAGGGCAGGGTGCTACTGGTTTTTGGCACAAAGAGAGGCAAGTTACTGGTGGAAAATAGAACTCCATCCTGGGTGGATCTGGTGCAGGCTGGCAGAGCTGCAAAGTGTCTCTGCACATAACAGAAAGGGCAGGGGCTGGTGGTTCTGGTTTCCCGTGCATCACTGTCCAGGGGAAAGGGGTGAGGAAGAAAACTCACCCAACACCAAAGTGCAACTTTCTGTGTAAAATATGTTAATAGTGAATTTTTTTTTCTGCAATAAAGTTACAAATGCCAATGGTGTCCTGGTCCTCATATTTTCATTGCAAACATCTAACTGAAAAGTGTTTGTAAATCACAATGAATCCTGTGGTAGATAAACAGCAGTAGTTTGGGGTAGGAAGACTCACAGACCTGATACTGATGAAAATGCCAGACAGCTACAAATCAGAGCTCTAAGGGTTCAGAAGGACACCACCCCCTGCTTGTGTTGCTTCTTGTCAGGGTCATTCCCTGTCTGGGTTGAATGAGAGTAATTTCTATGTGGTCTAATCAGTTTAATTCTCTTTCAGAGAACACACTAGACCAAATAATCTAACATAGACCTTTAGACTCTGTTTCTTAGCCTCTGATTGAAGATACCCTTATTCTCATCTGTTGTCAACTGTAACCCCAAACTCTATTTATAGAAATATCCTGAAAACCAGCCTAATCCAAACCTTAGTAGCATCATCTGTCATGCTTCTTTCTATAGTACAGAAGACAAAGCAAATTGAAAGGCACGTGCTTTTTTGTGTAACGTTATAGCTGTTTTGAACTCTTCTCTTTGGAGCTCGGACCAACACGAAGGTAAGCATTTGTGGTTTGTTTCAAAAGCCCAGCTCTTGCTACAGAGCTGATAAGAGTCTCTCCTGAGCTGTTACAATACCTCAGCAAAATCACCCAGCTTATGTCATAGACTGTGTTCTGAGATTTGCTACTGCAAAAGCAAAGTACAGAGAGTGAAACTACTCTATAAAAGCAAATCTCTGGAAGATCTAGAACAAGGGGAGAGCAAACAAAGACTTCACAGCCTAGCAAAGTCCTTGCTCTGAATAATTGGAAGACTTGCAGGTGAGCTCTAAACCCTGCAGAGATTTCAATCCTGTCCCAACATACAACCATACAAAATGAAAGAGCTAAGTAACAGAACAAACATGCTACAACTAAGCCAGTCTCAGGCCTGAAGTCAGCATCATTCTAGTGATTGATGTCGGAGTTTCCTCTGTTCTGCTTTTTTACCACCAACCTCACTCAGAGCTGATTCATTCTTTGCAGAACGAACTGCTAAGAGGTAGCACAAGGCAGATCTGCCTTAGCCAGAGAGGCAGCAGCAGGACAGGCTCGTGCAGGCAGCCTGTCTCGGGAGGTACAAAGCTGACTGCCTTTGCCCAGCCAAGTTCTGACTTCCCAGCGAGGTGAAGCAGTCTCTGAGTGGCCAGGTTTGAAGAGGGATCATGGGCAGTTGTGTAGGCTTCATCCTTATGAGCAGCAAAGCAGACTGACAGAACCAGAAAACAACTGCTGCCAGTTTCTGCATGTCTCCTTGAACACAGCTCTTGCTGTTGATGAGGTTTAGTTTAATGCCCCTTAGGCTAAGGTACAGTTATGCTATTAATTAACGAGAGGATGAGAATCAATCAAATCACATTTCAAGCTAAATAGGAAGGAAAGAAACCCAGATAAAAGCAGAGTTTGTGACCCACCTGCCTTCTCTGCCATCCCCTCCTCTCTGCAGACTCATGTTTTGAAGGGTAGGGGATCTAAGCAGAGGAAACATGACAGTGCCAGAGCTGCTGTGCTAAGTGCAGGGCTACCTGTGCTACATGCCAGTTCTCTGCCCATTCAGTTGTCCTCCATGGCTCAGTGCCTGGATTTTATAGAATCACAGAATAGTTAAAGTTGGAAAGGACCTTAAGATCATCAAGTTCCAACCCCCCTGCCGTGGGCAGGGACACCTCACACTAGACCATATCACCCAAGGCTCTGTCCAACCCGGCCTTGAACACTGCCAGGGATGGAGCAGGGATTTTAGCTTTCAATACTGTTTATTTTCACCATCGTGTCAAATAAGGCTGCAGGTGGTGTTCAGAGACAGAGAAACCGCCTTGAGGAGCACGAGTGTACAAAGCAGCGTGTAGATCTCATAAGACCAACAACCCCATGAGGCTCTCCCATGGATAATAGTCCTGTGTGCTTGCTACCACTTAAAGCAGAATGAAAAAGGCATTGTACTGATCCAGAGAGCAGGAATGCAGGAACAAGCCAGGAAGTCAGAGCAGTAAATTTTCAGTAATGAAGGCTATGAAATGATGTATAACCTGGGAAGCTTTTAGTAGCTAGTGTTGTTTTCATACCCAGGAGACAACAGAAAATGCCTACTGTCATTTCCCAGACACCTAGGAAGGAAGGAAACAGGATGCTGCACGCCTCCACATTATTTATACTCGATTTTCTATGACTACATTCAATTCAGTATAAATGTGGATTTGTCATGGGGGGAGGGGAAGAGTTTTTCTAAACTACCTCCTGAGGCTCTGCCGAGGATGTTCCCAGCTACTGCTACCTCTGTCTCGCCACACAGAGAAGTGAGAAAGGGATCTTCTCGCTCTTCTCTCCCTTCCATCCCCCACAAAGCAAACAGAAATCATGCATTTCCTGCCCATAAACCAGGCAAATCTGTGGTCCTACTGCTACATAGCTAAGTGATAAGCAAATCTGTAAGACCATGACTGCTAATATAAACGTTCCCGTCAGTATTAGGCCCCAAAAACTGTTTGTTGTTTGGGTTTTTTTCTTAATTCCCCCAAAACTTTGTAAGATAACAGAGTTCTTTAAACTCCCCCATCCACCACATTTGAATGAAGACTCTTCCCCGTTCTAATGCTACAGGGGATACGTTTCCTCAGAGACATGAGAAAAATCAACCTTCACTTAGACCCGCCCAGAAGACTTTCTGATTGTGGCTGGTGTTACACAGCTTGTAATCTAGAACCCCACCACAGCTGATTCTGCAACATTAGTAACCTTTTATAAGAAACCATTAACTATTACAGCAAGGAAGCACAAATAGGGTGCTAGACAGTGTCAAATTTGATAGATGTGTGCATTCTAAAGACAAAGGGATGGATGTATTCATCTGTTTGACAGCCTGCACAGCCTTCCTTGTGCTTGTTCCTACTTCCTGTCTAATAAATACACTTGAAAGATATAGTCGGCACAGGTCTGCTTCATGTGCACCAGCAGTTTAACAATGGTTAGCCTCAGTTCCTCTCTAATATTGTTCCTTTTGAAAGACCCATCAGTCAAATAACCCCCTGAACCACAACACCAGCTTGATCCTGATCCGCGGACAGCGGCCACAGAAGCAAGGAAATAACTGTGTAAAAAAATATGTGTTTGTTTGTGCTGTTCAGCTCCCTGTTTAAAGGTAGACCAAATCCCCCACCCACAATTCAAATAAAGAGCTAAGTTACCAGAGGTACCCTCCCAGTCATAAAACAGGTCTCCCTGTGATGAACTGCCCAGAATTAATATATCCCTGCAGCAGAAGCCTTTTGCTGGTGCTCTTTGAACTATAATGGAACATCTGTTGACAATCTCCCGCAGGGTAACTTCTCCCCCCACCCTGTTTTAATCCTCTGCCCTTCAGAAGTACTTTTGCTCTGAAATTAGACACATCAGTTGCCACAGGATGACTCTCAGAAGCATTTGAGTGTTTCCTTTCACACTGGGCTTTCTTGGGAGCTGCAGGAAGGGGGATGAGCACTCAGCCCTGTTCAGTGTTTTCTTACAAAATGTGCTGTTATGTCTGAATTCTAGAAGCTTGAAACAAGACAAGGCTCACGGGTTCTGGAACATGCCTTCCAGCCAGATTTAGGTACTCATTTGATTCTAAAAAGGGTTTTACTGGGGACAACTGCAAAATAAGCAGTTTTCCTTTTTGCTAATTCTGGCTGTCCCTTCTAATCACACAGGCAGACCAAGCCACTAACTTAATCATTACTTCAGTTTCCCTGATAAGCTTGGGGCAGGATGAGAATTCAGAGGTGGAAGGCAATGGTGCACAACCCTATTTGTGGCTGGCTAGTAGAAAGAGAGGCCATTTTCAAAAAGGGCTGAGAGAGGCTCCAGGAAAATAAGTTCCCTTTGTTTTACAAAGTGTAACCTGCTGGATCACACTGAGTGATAGAGAATTGGTCACTGCATCCTGCTCAAGTCTTTTTCTTGGATGCATCAGGTCACTTTCCAGTCCACCTTCAGTTAGATCCAAGCCACTCAGGCAGGGGTTTATATCCTGGCCATGATCTGCCAATGGCTGTTCACACATTCAGGTTCACTCTAAGAAGTAGAGTTGAACTCTGGGAAGCAGCTGTTCACTGGAGAAGGAAAACTAACTGATCTCAGCCTGAACTTCAAAGCAAAAGCCATGATTTATGCAGCTGAATGAGATGGAGGTCACAGGAGCAGCCTCTGCCACTGTGTCTTGTCTTGATCTATGCTCAACCCTCCACTTGACGATTCCTACTGCTACTCTCAGCACCACCAGTCTCTGCCTGCCTTTCAAACCAGTCCTAAACAAGCTGTGCTGCCTCCCCCCTCCCTTTACAGTATCCTGACTCAGTCCCACATCCCAAGGTCCTTTGTATTGACTGAGAAGTAGGCAGCAAAGAGAATGCCATACATCTGTCTCCTTCACTGTCCCATCTGCTAGACTACAAAGCATTCACCATCAAATAGGCAGCGGTCCTCTTTCCCCATACTCTCAAGGCTTTCTGAACACAGTGTCGTTCATTCACCTCTTCCCTTCTTCACCAGCTTGCAATTCTAAAGTAAGTTCTCTGAGAAGAAAAAGGACTAAAAAAATTCAAACCACATTAGGAAATTTCACAAGGCCCCTTTTAGCCACTTCATTCTCAAAAACAAACCCAGCAACCTCTCCTTTATGGTGGTTGCAGAAGTTTCTGTGCGAAGAACAGCATTTCTTACTCTGTTTGAGCCATATAAGAGGAAGCAATTTACCAACACTTGTCAAATCAGCTGCTCCATATTAGGTCTTGTCAAACAGAGTGAAAATATGGTCAGTCTATATCTGTTCTTGCTATGTATAGTCTCCCTAAATGGCACAATCTAAGCCCAGCTAGATATCCCAGAGCTTTAGCTAGCCAACAGCTTAAGCAATATCCAACATAATCCAAAACTTGCAATATACTGGTGGGGTATATTGGAGGGGGTGGAACATTTGAAGGCATTAGTAGA